CAACGGCCTTCCAAGCTCTGAAATCCTATCCCTCCCATTTCACAAATCCATTAGGCCACTGGGTTTCGTTTTAGACTACTTTCCCACACACAGAGGCTGCTATCTCTAACACTCTCCCTCCCGCCAAGGCTCCTAGTCTGGCTAGACACTGCTGGACTGCCCTCAGTGCTGGGTCTTCCTGTCCAGAGAGCCCAAGAGGTCAGTGAGGGTTGTCTGTGTCTGAGGAGAAAATAGACATGTTTCGTCTTACAGGAATGGCCAAGCCACAAATTCATTAATTAGATCCTGGCTACATGTTTACTATCAGTTCTCTGTGATCATTTGTTTGACTGACTAACGGTCTGCAATTTTCCATAAAGTATTAGGGGCGCCTCAGTGAATTTCACAGGCATGTACTTCCTAGACATATTGCCCAATCAGGGAACAGAGTGTTACCGAAACACAGCAAACGGGCTCATAACAGGACCTTTGTAGGGGAATTAATTCATCAGCACTTGTCTCCTCCTGGGGACCTCCCTGACATAATCTACAATCCTAGGAGGAGAGAGCACATTATTGAAAGCCCTTTTCCCTCAGTGGTCCTCAACTCCTTCTCCACACAGGTAGAGGGCTGGAAAGATACAATTCCCTTGGATTGGAAAAGCAGTCTACGCTCCTAAAGAATATGGGGAGCAGTGAGAAATTCAGGAAAACTAGGCTTGGGCCTCCTCTATGTCATCAGCTGAGACATGGAAGGAAGTCCTGGGTCTGACAGAAAGTGGGCAGAGGTCCCCCAGGTCCATTACACAGACATTTGCTGGCTCTCAGTTTCGCTTACCCCAGGGTGACCTCCCTCCCTACATGTTAATTGTGGCCTTTGACATGTTCCAGCCCCTTGGGGAATGACTCACTGCAGCCTTACCACCTTCCTTCCTGGCCCTCCCTACCTATTTTAAGTTGGATGTCACTGGGTCTGATGCCCATTCAGGCCTCCCTCTAGATCTGAGACCGCAGAGAAAGGCCGCACTCCCTAAGATGGAAGGAGGGAGCTTAGAACCAATGCAGGGAAAGCCTCTTTTGAAAAGAGGGCTTAGTAAGTGACTGCAGGGCCCGCACTGGCAGAGGGAGCCCCAAAGTCCCCTTGCTTGTCCCTGAAACAGAGCCCCAGCTCACCAGCTTCTGCACCAGGAAGAAATCCTTCTTGTAGATGGCAATGCCCTTGTTGAACAGCTTCCTCTCAGCCATCTTCCACTGGTCAGAGCCTGAGGGGCAAAGAGGGATCCAAGGATGTGAGGTGGGCAGGACTGAGTACTCTGGGGGCAACGCTGACTAGCCATCAGAATTGTTAGATCGTCCATCCACAGCCTCTGCAGGCATCCAGAACTGGCCCCACGTCCTGCTTCTGCCACTTACTGGCCATGTCGCTTAGCCTCTGAGCCTCACACTCCTTGCTAGTGAAATGGGAACTAATAACAGAACCCACCTCACCAGTTGTGGTGAGGACTAAATGAGATAATTCATGTGAAGCCCTTGCCTGGCACAGACCAAATATCCCAGTCAAAGGGGACCAATAACAGCGGCTGCTATGATTACACAACTTGGTCTGTGTCCCTGTAAAAGTACAGTACGCAGAATGGGACACAGTGCTCCAGGGGCCGTCCTGGTTCCAGGTAACTGATGCTAATTTGAATGGAACTCCCTGGGCTCCTCAGGTCTCTCACCTGCCCACCCCCTTCTTCCTCTCCCTCCAGGGCACAGGAAGCCCCCTGACAGCTACCCCAGCTTTGGTGTTAGGTCCCACACTCTGGCTCTCTGTTTATCCATTCCCATCTCCTCACCCCCACCCAGGGCCATGAAACCAGGGTCCCATTGACACTGATGGCCCCCGAGGCTCCAGGCTCCATGCCCACCCCCAGCCAGGCCCACCTGTGTAGTGATAAGTTGCCAGCGTGTGGTTGTGGGGCCGCAGGGGCTTCTTTAGTAGCAGCTTATTCAGAGTTTCCTGCAGGGAAAGTGAGGGGAAGGTCAGGGACCCAGCAGGGGTCTCAGTGGTGGGCTGAGCATCTAGGCCTTGGGCAAAATTCAGAGGGCCTCTGAGTAGGGTGGAGACTTACTTTTGACTCCCTTAGCTGCTAAGGGGCTAGAGGCCTGACAGGATGGGGAGGTAACAAGGGGTGGGACTGCTCCAGACCAGGGTCTGGGGCTGCTTAAGAGGAAGCACCTGGCCTCCGAGTCAGGCAGCTATGGACAGAGAAGGCCCTTGATGAGCCTTGTCTCAGGGTGGGGGCCCACTGACCTGGAACTGGGGACTGGGGTGGACAGAACAATCCTGCAGGGCAAAGTCTGGACTGGAACTAGGGCTCCCTTGGGTGCAGCCCCTACAACATCCCCCTTGGTCAGACCCTCCGACCCCCCTTAAAACCAGCATGCCAGCGGAATCCATGCCAGCTGCCCTGAGGGTCCCCCCTGCACTGGGGGCACTGTCTCACCAGGATGTCTCCCCTGGATTCGTGCAGATAGTGCAGGGCCAGCTCCTGGTTGGTACCAGCTCCAGGGAGAATGCTGGAGCAGGCAGCTGTCAGCAGGTCTTCCACTGGATTCACAGGAGTCATTGGGAGAGAGGAGAGGAAATCACTTCAGGACTGGGCTGGGCCTGGCCTACTGTCTGCCAACCAGCCTGCCTTTGCTTGTGTGCCCCCAAGCCCCTCCTCACCTTGCCTCTGCTTCTCCCAGCTGCTCTCTAGGTCCTCCCACGGCTGCCACACCAAGTCAGCCTTGTGGAGGTCTGTAGCTGCCAAGCTGCGGTCCCTCAGCGAGGGGATTTCCGCTTGGAACCGGGAGCCCACGTTGATCCGCCTGCAGGAGTGCAGAGGGCAGGGAGTGAGGCCTCACCTTGTGGGAAGGAAGAACCTGACTTTCTCCTTGGGGAAGGGCAAAGGATGCAGGGGTAGCTGGCAGAGGCGGCAAGCACAGGCAAGGCCTCAGATTGGAAGTAAGGGAATCTGGCTTCTGCGGGACTGTGACGACAACCTGGCATGTGGTACCTGGTACCAGCAGAAAAGCAAGGTATAGAGGCTGCAAAGGGGAGAAACACCTCCAGAGTTACAGACTGAGAAAGAGTCTCTTGGACTATCCCTTCCAGTTCTCCTCAGAGGCAAATTCAAGTTGTTCCTTCCCTTTCCCTACAACTTCTACACAGAAGCAGGATAGGGACAGTAAAGCCCAGAGCAAACTGCAGAAGCCCAGCTCAGCCACCAGTAGGCCCCACAGAACCCTCCTCTTGCACCTGCATGCACTGGGCCCCACTGGGCCACCCTAACACCATGGCCAGGAGGGCTGCACTTACGGCTCGATGCTGACTGGGGTGGCCTCCCCCATCACAGAGAGGACGGGCGGGGTGACTTCAGCACTGTCTATGGGACAAAGAGTAGGTTTATAAATGGCATCCTCCTTCTTCAGCAAAGCACCCCCCACCCCCGACCCTAAGTTGCTGATGTATATGCAGAAGAGTCCCAGTGGTGATTCACAGAGGTTCATACTTAGAAATCAGGCACTCTGAGTCCTGCTCTACAGCCTGCTCAATGTGATGAGGCTGGCACTTTGCTAAATATTTGGGTGCCTCAGTTTTCTCATCTGCAAAAATGGACTATTAATATCTATCTTCTAGGGTTTGTGAGGATTGAATGAAACAATGCACAGAGCCTAGCACTCGATAAATATTAGCTATCACTGTTTCTAGTAGTATTATTAACACTACCAGTACTACTACTAAGAAGCCCTGGTGACGCAGTGGTTATAGCGATCGATTGCTAGCCGGACGATCAGTGGTTCGAAACCACCAGCAGCTCCGCAGGAAAAAGATGTGGTAGTCTGCTTCTGTAGAGATTTACAGCCTTGGAAATCCCACGGGGTGGCTACTGAGTCAGAATCAACTTGACAGCAGTGGGTTTAGTACCACTACTAAGGCCCTGTCCCTGCCCACAGCAGCTTCCACACTACAGGACTGACTCCAACATAAAACTATGGCTATTGTAGAAAAGAGGCTTAAACTTTGGGCACACTAGGAGGTGGTGAAGGTGATCATGTTTCATAATTATCTCCTCACTTCCTTTCTGGATTCTCTGCCTCTGTTTCTCCTGAACTAAACTTCTTAATGCTCCGCCTGATCAAGACACTCCCTTGCTCCAAAAATTTTTTTTTTTTGCTGACTCCCCTCTGCAACGTGGGATAAAACCTGAAATCTCCAGCGCAGCATTCAAGGCTCCCATGACCTGCACCCCCAGTTCTCCGTTCCATCTCTACCTCCCACCACCCCTTGCCTGGACTCTGCTTACCTTATAGCTCCTCATGCTCCCTGCAGGCCCACTTCCATGTCTTTGCATTTCCTTGGCCTAGCGTGCCCTCCCCATCTCCACCCACTAGGGTTCAAGCTCAGCTCTAGCCCCACCTCCCCTGGAATCCCTTCCTCACCACCCCAGGCAAGAGGCCTCTGAGGGCTTCAGCTTTAGTGTTTGCCTCGCTCACTAGCTGCCAATCACACACTGCCTGGATCCTCTGGTGTTCTGTCTCCCAGACTTTCATGCTGACTCCTAACAAGCCTGTACGCCTTTAGGACAGACCATGGGGTCCTATATATTCTTGGAGCCCTCACAGGACCTAGTTCAAAGCTTTACACACAAGTGCTCGATAAATACTAGTGGACAGACTGACCTCTTCTTTGCTGCCAGTCTGGTCTCTACAGTGACTTCTTCCTGCACAACCTGAGCTCAAGAGAAGCTTCTAGTGGAAGCGGGAGGGCCAGGAGAGCCAGAGGCCCACCAGCCCAGGGCGAATCATTTTTTGCCCACAGACACCAGGGGGCATCAGAGAGCTATGCCATGGGTGAGGTCAGGGTCATAGGTTAATCAGGTGATGGAATTGCCTCACTCATGTGCTACTTTTGATAGTGTTTACTCGCACTTAATCCTCTCTACTACCCTAAGAGATGGGATTATCCCATTTTTCAGAGGAAATGGATCCCTCTGTGGAATGTACATTTCTCAGCAGTACATCACCCAGGCCAGCCTTATCTTTCCAAAATGTCTGTTCTTGGCCAAAATGACTATTCAAGAAATCCAGAAGACTGGACCTGTCATATAATTTTAAAAATAAATGTGACTTGCCAGGCATTATGCTAAGTGCTTCATGCATGTTAATGTATCTGATCCTCATCACAACTCTGTGAAGTAGGCATTAGGTTGAACCATAGTAAAGTGGTATTCGCAGATCCAAAAATGGGTTAACACTGGCAATTTCCTATGGTTCAACCAAATACTAATATCCCATTCTAATAATAAAAAAATTGAGGCCCAGAAGAGTTTAAATGACTTGCACAAAGGGATGTAATAGTAAGTGCTAGAACTGGTATTTGAACCCAAGCAGTTGGCCTGACCCACCCTGTGTGCTTGAACCAGGACAACCCCGTTCTCCCTTCTAGAGAGAGCAGAGCTCCTTCTCCAGAACACAGTATTCCAGCCCAATCCCCAGGAGCCCCATCAACTAGGTCCTCTCCCTGCCCACATTCCTCCTTCCCCACATTCCCAACCCTCAAGGCCACCAAGGGGGGTTACTCACTAGACCGGAGCAGGGTACGATGGGCACTCTTTGGCGTGATGGGAGGAGGGGCTGGGATGCTGTTGGTTGAAATGATGGCATTGAAGTAGAGGCCAGAGCCTTCCCGCACGGGGCTGAGGATGGGGGGTGGTGTGTAGGGGGGCAACTCAAAGCTCCGCTCAGAGGGGTGGTCGGCTAGGCGGACAGGAGACCGCAGGTGGCTCTGGTACGGGGTGATGTTGGAGTAGACAGGTGGGGCGATGAAAGTTCCTGCCTTGGTGGGGATTATCAGGGGCTCCGGTCTTGGCCGCTGCTTTGGTTTCCTTACAGAAGGCTCGCCCTCTCCCTTGACATTCACATCCTCAGCCTGCAGGCGAAAGCAGAAAAAAGATGGCTCAGCCTCCTATGTCTCAGAAAAACTGAAGTCTTGACCACTGCTTGCTGGTTTCACGTTTGGAACTTGGTCTGCCCGTCACACCTACCAAGCTATGCCTGAATAAGGAAGCATGTGCAAAGGCCCTTCTTGTTGTCTCCTCTAGGGCAGGGGTAGAAGCCCTGGTGGCACATTGGTTAAAGCGCCTGGCTGCTAACGGAAAGGTCAGTGGTTCGAACCCACCAGCTGCTCTTCCTTAAAGATTACAGCCTTGGAAACCCTATGGGGCAGTTCTACTCCGTCTTATAGGGTCATTATGGATTGGAATTGACTCGACGGCAATGGTTTTTTTTGTTTTGTTTTGTTTTTGTTTTTTTAGGGCAGGGGCTGGCAAACGTTTTCTGTAAAGAGATAGTAAATATTTAGGCTTTGCTGGCCACATGTGGTCTCTGTAGCATGCTTTAAAAAAAAATACATAATTCTTTAAAAATGTAAAAACTATTCTTAGCACTATGGATTTGGCCCACAGGCCATAGTTCCCAATGCCTGCAGGAAGGTATGCTCTAGGGGCAGGAGAGTACAGCAGTTAAGGACCCAGGCTCTGAAGGTGGACTGCTTAGACTGAGATCCACCTCCTTCATTACCATTTTAATTACTTAACCTCTCTGTGCATCATCATTTTTAACCCGAGAATAAGTGCCTACCTAATGGGATGGTCCCTGGGTGGCACAAATGGTTTGCGCCTGACTACCAATCAAAGGGTTGGCAGTTCAAATCCACCCAGTGAGGCCACAGAGGAAAGGCCTGGCAATCTGCTTCTGTAAAGATCACAGCCAAGAAAACCCTATGGAGCTAAGTTCTACTCTATAACACACAAGGTTGCCATGAGTCGGAAATCGACTCGACAGCAACAGAGTTTGGTTTTTTTTTTTGTTTACCTAATGGAATAGTTTTAAGGACTAAATGGAAATCACTACGAAAAGAACCTGGTGTATAGTAATTATGCAACAAATACTGGCTGTTATCACTACTTAAATTCCAGGCTCTGCATTAGATGGAAGCCCCTCCTGTGTGCAAAGACCTGATCTGGGCATAGGACAACAAAATGAACAGATAGTTTCCATCTTTGAAGAACATTTGTTCTCATAGTATTAGTCCTACTATCAGAGGCTAGCCCACTCATGCTGTCAAAGGCTAGCTCTCCTGACTTACACTTCTCCTGTTGGTGTGCTTCACGGGCCTCCATACAGAATAGGAGGCACGGACATCGGGCGTAGAAGCCTTTCATTATTCTCAAAAGGGCAGTGAATAGAACCCTACAAGGTGAGCAGCATTCAGGTCATCTCTCTGGGTGCACAGTCTGCCATCAGGTGAAGTTGGCCACATTGGTTGAGTGGGCCTGGGCACAACAGACTCTCTTCCCACTCCCCAGGCTCCAACACCCACAGACCTTCCAGAGGACGGCTCCAACTCCCCATGAGGCCTTTGCCATGTCCACTACCCATCTGTATTTTCTCTTCCCTTCTACAGACTAGAAAGAAATGAAATTGTTCATTCTCAGCCCTTACAGGGATAATATGACTACACAGAAAAAATGCAGTGGATCCAAAGGCCCCTAAACTTGTTAAACAAGAAACCCAAGATAAACTCAGCTAGCTGTAATGATTTGTATTTTTATAATAAGGGAAATGGATATAAACTATTTTGAATATTTGATGATATTAAAAAATTACTGTTAATTTTTTGGGTGTAAAGACCCTCAGTGAGATGGACTGACAGTGGCTGCAACAATCGGCTCAAGCATAACAACGATTGTGAAGGTGGAGCAGGAGCGTGCAGTGTTTCATTCTCTTGTACACATGGTCGCTATGAGTCAGAACCAACTCAAAGGCACCTAACAATAACAATGGTATTGTGGTTATATATATTTTTTTAGAAAAGAGTCCTTATGTATGCAGTTCAGATACAAACTGAAGTGTTTATGTATTTATGGATGAAATACGCTGTTTGGGATTTCCTTCGAAACAATTCAGTGGCAGGGAGATGTAAAGGCAAAGATAAAACAAGATTGACTATTTTGAAATAACTGTTGAAACAGTATTTTGATAACTGTTGGCTATATTTTGGTAACTGTTGATAGGTAAATATTGGAGGGCTCACTTAGTATCCTCTCTACTTTTGTGCATGATTGAAAAGGTCTGTAATACAAAGAAAAATAAATAACAATAAAGAGAAAAACAAAAAGCCTCCCCAAGAAGCCTAGTGTAGTGAAAGCACTCATAGGCAGGGACTTGGGAGGTCCAAACTCCAGGGCTAGCTCTGCCATTACTAGGCTGTATGACCTTAGGCAGGTCTCTTGCCTTCTCTGGACCTGTTTCCTCATCTGTGAAATACAGGCATTCAGCTATATAGTTGCCAAGGCTCCTTCTTGCCTACTCTCAGGACAAGCTGACCAAGCCATCAACCCCCAGCCTCTAGCACAAACCTCTTTGGTTTCTCCAACCAGAGAACAAGACCCCAGGAAGCAGAAATTGTTCTGCTCATGATAAATCTTGGAGCTCCCTTCCTGTTAAGGAGGAAAGGTACACAGACCAAATCTCCAGCTGAGAATAACTAGAAAAGCCAGACTAAATATAAAAAACACATTTCTGAAGGTATCAGACAGCAAATAAGTTGGCAAAGAATTAAAGAGCCAAGATCCAGGAAAAGAACGAAATCCAAAGTGGTGAGCCTGGCATTTAGGGCCATGTTTTCCCCAGAGGCAGATGCCAATACTAGAAGAGGCAACTGAGAGGCTGAAAAACTGAGCAGAGATTTTTAACAAATTCAAGGAATTAGGAGAATAAAAATTGGAGCTAAGGGCTTGCCAAGGAAGGCTTACTAGGCTTTGGATTGAGACTCCAAAGGACTATAAAACCAAAAACCAAACCTGCTGCTGTTGAGTCGATTCCCACTTACAGCGACCCTACAGGACAGAGCAGAACTGCCCTACAGGGTTTCCAAGGCTGAAATCTTTACTGAAGTAGACTGCCACATCTTTCTCCCATCAAGTGGCTGGTGGGTTCAAACCACCAACCTTCTGGTTAGCAGCCAAGCACTTTAACCACTGCACCACCAGGGCTCCTTCAAAGGACTATACCCTCAGATTAAGGTGAATCAGAAATGGCCTAGGCCTTACATGGAATGAAGCCCAGCTTCAAATCATCTTAATCTGATTAGATTGAAGTGATTCAGACTGCTAGTGCCCTTTGCTACCTGTCAGAAGCAAAAATAAATCCTCTCTGGAAGTGGAAAACATCATCCAGGGTCTTTAATTTTATGGTATTCAATAAAAAATAACCAGGTACACTAGAAGGCAAGATGTGATTTAAAAACAATAGACTCATGGGGGATGCCATTAATGGCATTATCACAGGTAAACTTTAAGAAAATTATGCTTAAAATTTTCAATAAAATAAATGGTAAGGTTGAGGGTTCCATCAAAGAACTAGAAACTCTAAAAATGAACCAAATGGAAATTCTGCAACTGAAAAATATAACTACCAGATAGTAGACAAGAATTACCTTAGGTGAAGGGAAGGACAACACACAATACAGGGGAAATCCGCACAACTGGACTAAACCAAAAGCTAAGATGTTTCCTGAACACAATCAAACACTTTGAGGGACAGTGTAGCTGGGGCAGGGGTCTGGGGACCATGGTTTCAGGGGACATCTAGGTGAATTGGCATAACAAAGTTTATTAAGAAAATGTTCTGCATCCCACTTTGGTGAGTGGCATCTAAGATCTTAAAAGCTAGCGAGCGGCCATCTAAGATGCATCAATTGGTCCCAACCCACTTGGAGCAAAGGAGAATGAACACCAAAGATACAAGGAACATATTAGCACAAGAGACAAAAGGGGCCACATAAACCAGAGACTCCATCAGCCTGAGACCAGAAGAACTAGATGGTACCCGGCTACCACCAATGACCACCCTGACAGGGAACACAACAGAGAGTCCCTGACGGAGCAAGAGAAAAGTAGGGTGCAGAACTCTAATTCTAGTAAAAAGACCGGACTTGATGGTCTGATTGAGACTGGAGGAACTCCAGAAGATACAGCCCCTGGACTCTCCGCTAACTCAGAACTAAAACCATTCCCAAAGTCAACTCTTCTGACAAAGATTAGACTGGACTATGAGACATAAAATGATACTGGTGAGGAGTGTGCTTCTTAGTTCAAGTAGATACACGAGACTAATCGGGTGGCTCCTGTCCGCAGGCGAGAGGAGAGGGCAGAAAGGGATAGGAGTTGGTTGAATGGACACAGGAAATCTGGGGTGGAAAGGAGGAGTGTGCAGTCACATTATAGGGATAGCAACTCGGGTCACATAACAATGTGTGTATAAATTTGTGGATGAGAAACTGATTTGAGCTGTAAACTTTCACCTAAAGCACAAAAAAAAAGAAAAATATAATTGAACTCAATGAGTAGATTCAACAGGAGATTAGACAGAGCTAGACACAGAATTAGTGAACTAGATACATCAGACCAGAAAAAAAAAGAATGAAAAATACAGAAAATCATATGACAGACATAAAACAGAAGATAGGGTCAAAAATTCTAACAAATGTGTAACTGGAGTCCCAGAAGGAAGGAAGAGAGAAAACGGAGCAGAAGTATTCAGGAAGCACTACAAATTCCAAATAAGATAATACAAAGAAAACTGTATTTAAGTATAACAGTAAAACTGCTGAAAACCAAAGACAAAGAAAAATCTTAAAAGTTGCAAGATAAAAAGACACTTTATATTCAAAGAACAGCGATAATGGTTCAGTGGTTTCTCAACACTGTAAGAACAATGGAAACCTGAAGATAGTGGAATGATAGAAATTGCTAAAATAACTGCCAACCTAGAAATCTCTACCCAGCAAAATCATCCTTCAAAAATGAAGGTAAAATAAAAACATTTTCAGACAAAGACTAATAATATTCATCACTAGCTGACTCATACTAAAGGAAATACTAAAGGATGTTCTTCAAGTAGCATACAAATGATCCAAGATAGAAACTTACAGATATAAGAAGAAAAGCAACCAAAAGTATATCTGCATAAATCTAAAATGAATATCAACTGAACAAAACAACATTATAATGTCTTGTGGATGTTAAAATATATAGAGAATGAAAAAGCATGTCAATAATTCTGTAAGTTGGGCAGATAGGTGGGAGATGGAGTTAAAGTGTTTTAAGAAACTTGTACTCTCTAGGAAACGGTAAAATTATTAGACTTCAATAAGCCAAGGATGCATGTTTTGAGCTCTAGCAGCTTTTTTCAACCAATTAAGCCCTAATGTCATAAGGCATTCATTGTACATAATGAGTTTCATTTCTCTTCTATACATCTACAATGGTACTATCTATCCTTTAGTACTAAATCTCCTTTGGAGAATTGAGAAAATAGTCACTCAAATCACTTCCTGTAGGGCTTAGTTCTCTCACAGAAGGCAGGGTAAGAAAGGCTGGTAAGGTAATCACAAAAAGTGTTACAAATGAGTGTAAAACTAACAAGTTATTAGAAGGAGGAAATGGATTAACAAACCCAAATTAATCCAAAGGAAACAAAAAGAAGGAAAAAAGAACACAGTAAAGGCAGAATGCGGTAACAGTAGATTGCAGATTTAAACCCAAGTATATCAGTAACTAGGTGCCCTGGTGGTGCAGTAGTTAAGTGCTTGGCTGCTAACCAAAAGGTCAGTGGTTTGAACCCACCAGTCACTCCACAGGAGAAAGATGTGGCAGTATGCTTCTGTGAAGACTTATAGCCTTAGGGCAGTTCTACTCTGTCCTACAGGGTTGCTATCAGTCAGAATCCACTTGACAGCAATGCGTTTTGGTATATCAACAATTAAAGTGTGCTGGTTGCACAGCGGTTAAGTGTTCGGCTGCTAACCAAAAGGTTGGCAGTTCGAATCCAACAGCCGCTCCTTGGAAAAGCTATGGAGCAGTTCTACTCTGTCCTATAGGGACTATAAGTCAGAATCAACTCAACGGCAAAAAGTTTGGTTTGATTTTGGTTGGTGGCACAATGGTTAAGTGCTTCGCTGCTAATTGAAAGGTTGGCAGTTCGAACCCACCAGATGCTCTGCGGGAAGAAGATGTGGCAGTCTGTTTCCATAAAGATTTACAGCCTTGGAAACTCTATGGGGCAGTACTCCTCTGTCCTATAAGGTCATTATGAGTCAGAATTGACAGCAATGATATATCAGTAATTACCCTCAATGTAAACAGTATCAATGCTCTAATTAGAAGACAATGATTGTTAGACTGGATAATAACAAACCTCAACTATACGGCACTTGAAAATTACACTTTAAATAGAAGGATACAGACAGGCTGAAGTAAAAGGATGGAAAAAGATACACTGCAAACACTACCAAAAAGAAAGCTGGTGTAGTTATATTAATCAGAAAAATAAGACTTTAAAAAGGTAAAAAAGATTTACTAAAGCTAAAAAGAAACATTTCATAATGATAATGTCTAATCCAATTCTAAATGAATATGCACCTAATAACGTTGCTTCAAAATATATACAACAAATATTGCAGAACTAGAGGAAATAGACAAAACCTCAATCTCAGTGGGAGATTTCAACATACATCTCTCAATACTGTCAGAACAAACATCCATCTCTACTAGTGCCTAGCACAGAGCCTGACCTATGATAGGGGCCCAATCAAAATTTGCTGACCTGAAATGAAAGAGATCCACACATCCTAGATTTCCCTGGACAGTCCCAATTTCAAGTATAAAACTATTTAATTGCTCTCCCATAAATACATTTGTCCTTAAGTTTGATTTGAAAACGTAAACAAGTATCCCCACAGGTTCCTTGAACCTCTCCTACACTGCCAGATTCTCCTTTTTACCGTGGGATCCTAGGCCCCCAAGAGCATGCAGATACTGGAGGTGGATCCTAGGCCCCCAAGAGCATGCAGATACTGGAGGTGTCTGGATGGGGAGCCTCTCCTACCTGAGCTGAGGCATCAGTCCCGGGGATGCGGGTGGAACGCCTGCGGGTGACAATGACTGACGGCTTGTGTTCAGTGGGGTTCTGCTCAAGACCCTTCCCATCCTCCTCAACACCTCCAGCCTGGGCCACCTCAGTTGGGTCCACAGTCCGCACAGGCACAGACACTGGGATGATGAGGGGTACCATCCCGCTGTCATCTCGTGCTCGCTTGGCTGTTAAAGCAGGCTCGGAAAACTCTACCCCACACTTGGTATTTGAGGTCAACACACTTTTCCTCTTGTCCTCAGAGCTACTGGCATCCTGGAGAAGAGTGCAGAGAATGGAGGTAAGTTGTAGAAGGTTAAGTCCTCATTTGCTGGTCCAGGACCCATACCCCCATTTAATCCAGGGACTCAGATACCCATGATGGCTCCCAATGGTCTTTGACACCACTTCCCTTCTGCCAAGTCCTCAGACCCTGGCCTAGAGCAGGGGTGTCCATATGGCCATCTCAGACCACAAGTGGCTTTCAGTTGTGCTTTGTTTGGCCTGCATGGTGGCTAGCACACAAAATAGTATCCAAAAACACATCTCTGCTGCAGAAAGTAAACAGGAGGAACCTGTTGCAAGGTGAAGGGTTGTCTTTATATTTACTGCCCACATAGACAACTGGCTAGAGTGAAGTCTGGCTGCCCCTAAGGACAGGGCAAACTCTGCAGCCTCCTACATATCAGCTTGACCCTACAGGCATCGAGGGTTGAGACGTCTGGTGAAGGAAGACACAGATCCACTAGGCTTCCATCCCAGCCATGTGATCTTGGGAAATCCCACTTGGACCTGTTTCTTTAGCTATAAAATGGGGATAAACGACAGCACTCCTCTTATAGCGTTTGATGATGATTATTTATGATCTTTTCTTTTTTAATCCTCCCCATTGTTTTCTTTTTGTTTTTAAAAAAATCAATTTGATTACAGTATAGTTTACATACAATAAAATGCATCATTTTTTTTTTTTTTTTAATTTTTATCAGTTTTATGCAATCGCCTGTGTAACCACCACCACATTCTTGTCTTTTAGCATACTAGATCCAGAAATGGTTTCTTCTCCTCCTACTCCCATTCCTTCATATGAAGAGGCCAACCCACAGTGGTATATTGTACTTTCTGGCCTGCAGCCTTTGTGTGTATCAACCTCAGCTTCCCTTGAGGTACAAACGCTCTAAGGTAGGGGTCCTTTGCATGCAGGGAGTTCAAAAGTCCCTGAAATGTATGGGCTCATTTTCTTCACTGAACTGAAAAAACTATCCTGTGGGTCTAGAGTCACTTCCCCTCTTCCTACCCCCAGATACTGCTTACCCTACTCCCTGCCAGGCCCAGCCTCCACGCCACACCACTCTCACCTTTGCATTCTGCATCGAGGCCAGCTCCACTGCCTTCTGGGCCAGGGTCAGCAAGTTGGCTTCCTGGGACGCCCGGCGCCTCCGTCGCGTGCTCTGGATCACCCCGCCCCGTAGCACCTGCCCGCAGTCCCCTGGGCCCATTGCCCGCATGCCCTCCTCAGTGCCCATGGCAGAAGCCTCCCGCTCCCGTCCATTGGGTGCCAGTCTCTCCCCATCGGGCAGCAGGTGTGACTCCCTCAGCTCCAGTGGGAACCCCAGGGCTTCAGGATGGGGCTGCCCCAGGGGGCCAGGTGGCAGCTGTTGTGGGGGCCAGTGATGTAGGAACAGGTTGCTGGTGGGCTCCTGCCCAGGTTGGGTGCCAGCCCCATCCAGGGAGGTGGGAGGCAGAACCCCCTCCTTAGAGAGGCGGCGGGAACGGCGGGGGAAGGCAATCTGGGCCTGAGGTAGCACAGACTGCGGGGCTGACTCCTGCAGGAGGGCCTTGCGCAGTTCTGGGTTCAAATCGGTGTTAGGGGGGAAGGGGTAGGAGGCCATGCTGTGGTGAGCTAGGTGAGACTGCCCCAGGGGCCCGGCTGGCTGCAGGCCAAAGTCCTGGGGAGGCTGGGAGGGTGGCTGCTGCATGGGGTAGAAGTTTTCGAAGAGCTGCATCTGGGGCAGGGCTGCCTGCTGCTGCTTCTGTGGGGGATAGGCTGTGACGGGGTTGGGGGGTGGTGGGCCCTGCTGGAAGACCTGCCGGTTCACCTGGTGGCCAAACGCCAGCTGGAAGGGTTGCAGGGGCAGTGTCTGGTTTGGGGGCTTCTTGGCTGCATGGAAGGAGTTGAGAGGGGCCTGTGGCCGCCCTACCTCCAGCTGCACCTTCTGTGGCATCACTGGCCGCACTGCATTCCCGTAGCGGTCCAGCTGTGGGCCTCCCCCTTTCTCACGCTTCAGTGCCTCAGAGTGGTTATAGTAGGTGGAGACCCCCACACCAGGATGAGGGCTCCCCTTGGGTCCACTGTAGAGAGGCAGGCTGTGGCGGTTCCACGTTGAGTGGGGCGGGGGCTGGCCGGGCTGCTGTTGCCAGTTGCTGTCACTGACACCCCCACCCCCTCCATGCTCTGGGCCCCGCCCTGGGGCCATCACAGAGTTGGGCCACTTGACTGAGCCCGGCTGCTGGGACAACATGGCTGCTGTGGTCCGCTCAGGCCCATACACCACAGAGTTCAGCAAGGCCAGGTTGTTGGGAGGGGGCAGTTCCACAGGCTGAGACGTGGGAATGCCTCCTGACGGACCCTCGTGCCCAAAGTACGGCTCCTCCTTCACCCTGGTGGACTGTGGAGGGGCCGGGGGCTGCTGTGGGGCCTGCAGGGATGGGGGCTGCTCCTTGGGAGTTGACTCCTGGTCCCCAAAGAAGAGGCAACGCTTCCGCTTGTTCTGAGCCTTGGGCTGGGCCTGGAGGTTCATGGTGTGGCCAGCTGGGCCCTGGAAGTGAGACCTGCTTTACCAGTTGCCCATTCCCTGGGGAAAGGTCCTGCTGGAAGCCCGGTCCTAGTCCTGGAGCCAGTGGGGGCAGGGCAGGGCAGGGCAAAGGAAGATGCTGTATGATACAGTCAGGCACGAGGAAGAAGAACTGCTGACTCTTCCTTCCTCTTCGCAGAGAGGCTCTGGGGCTCGTCTACTCTTCCCAGCTCATGATGCTCCTCCACAGGGTCCTGGAGCCTGCAGAGAAAAGAGCAGCGACACCGTCAGCCACAGCCTCCCAGGGTGCCCTGGATGTCAGCACAGGCTGAGGAAGGGGCCTCCAAAGCCCTATGGTTCCACCATTTCGAGGCCCAGGGACAACCCAAGGTCACAGAGCAGCATCGGTGAGGCAGGAGCCAGGACCCTTGGGGGACGGCCAGGATGGCAGCAGCATCCCTCAAGGTGCTCTGTGACCCTCCTCCTCTCCCACCACCTCACCTGCCTGGTTAGGCTACAGAAATGCTGCGTTTGACTGTCATTTGTACACAAAGCTACCTGCCAAGGGACAAGTGGGAGTGAGATGCAGCCTGAGCCCCATCAGCCAAGCTGGGAGAAAGGGCAACAAAGCCACGGGCTCCCTTCTCCTCTTAACCCAGGCCCCAGCCCACTGAGCAGCGAGGCCTGGTCCTCCTTTGCCATCTATCCATGCAGTAACCCCTCCACTCGACCCAGAAGGATCTTTGTCTAGCCACATCTCCTTTGACACTCCGTGTACCCCTCAGACACAGGAAGTGGAAAGTGATCATTCCCAACATGGCCACCCTTCTGCGCACCCCAGGGCCGGGAGCCCCACCAGGCCCTCACAGAGTCTAGCCTCGGGCTAAGCCAAGCAGTCCTCTGCGCTGAGGCTTGTAGGTGAGGTTCCAGGAGGGCGTGTGCAGTTCCAGTTCCACCCCTGGGAGGGGCTGCTGGGTAGGGCCAGAGCCTCCCCAAAACTAGCACAGAACCTGTTCTGCAGCCCTGGCTAGAGGCAGGATCCAGCCCCTTAGCAGGTCAGCACCCTCCCTGCAGCACCCCCCACCCCCCACCAAAGAGACCCTGGCGTCCTGAGCAACGGAGTATTGTTGTCAGGTGTCGTTGAGTGAGTTCCAACTCAAAGCAATCCTGTGTACAAAAGAACAAAACACTGCCCAGTGCTGGGCCATCCTCACAACCACTGCTATGTTTAAGCCCATCGTTGCAGCCACTGTGTCATTTCATCTCGTTGAAGGTCTTCCTCTTTTTCGGTGACCCTCTACTCTACCAAGCATGATGTACTTCTCCAGGGACTGGTCCCCCCTGATGACATAACCAAAGAATGTTAGATGAAGTCTCGCCATCCTCCCTTCCAAGAAGCATTCTGGCTGTACTTCTTCCAAGACAGACTTGTTCGTTCTTCTGGCAGTCCAGGATATCGTCAATATTCTTCACCAACACCATAATTCAAAGGCATCAATTCTTCTTCGGACTTCCTTATTCATTGTCCAGCTTTCACATGCTTATGAGGCAACTGAAAATACAATGGCTTGGGTGAAGAATACCTTAGTCTTCAAGGTGACATCTTTGCTTTTCAACACTTTAAAGAGGTCTTTTGCAGCAGATTTGCCCAATGCAATACGTCAATTGATTTCATGAGTGCTGCTTACATGGGCATTGATTGTGGATCCAAGTAAAATGAAATCCTTGACAACTTCAATGTCTTCTCCATTTATCATGATGTTGCTTATT